CCCCTCCCATCGTGATTGAGAGCAGCGGGGCGGGGCGTGCCCGATGAGCCCCGCCCGGCTCGACCGCATAGCGAAGCGCAGCGCTCTTTGTTCATTAAAATGCCAGATTATGTCGTCGCCGCGCAGCGGGGAGAAATTATTTAATAATAATGCCGTTTATAGATTATTGTCCGCGCTGTCTGTTTCTGTTGTGCACACAGAAAATATGGTTCCATTGAATTAACTGAGAATCTCCAAGATCAATGAAAATGTAACCAATAGAAAATATGATAGAATTTTTCCGCAACTTAAAGCAATTTTCCAATATTCTATGGGAATTTTCCCCTTGAATCAATGAAATTCCATTGAGTCAAGAGAAAAAAAATCCATCAAATTTTCTTTCCATTAAATCAAATGGAACTGTTTTCTGGGTGTGCGTGTGTATTCCATTTGACATTTTACTGCAACTATAACCGGTGTGTATATAGAAGCAGCCATGAGCCAGCGCGGCGGCGGTGGCGTTTTGTTGTGATTCCAGATAATATAAGTCGGTGCTGTGCTGCGCGCGCGTTACCCAAGCGGTGCAAGCGCTGCTCTCTGCTCGCACGCAGTCACGACTTCGGTATATCGGGTGGAATTATTAATAATAATGGTGATAGTAGTAATAATATGCGTTTCCCTGGGGACCTGGATCACACGCGTAACGCGAGGCGGGCCGGGCGGCGAGGCGTGGCCGGTATGTAGTTCAGAGCGGCGAGCTATGCGGCCGTGAGGAGTAGGGAGTTCCCTTATGGAGCTGAAAAAGTACAACACACTCACAAACACACACACTCGCACACACTCACTTACACGCGTTTACAAGGGGAACAAATTATTTACTGCATTGTAACGATACGTTGTTACTGTTGCCCGTCTCCTTCGCTTGCTCCTCCGGCGCGTTCCCTTCGGGTTGCGCAACCCCCGCCTCCCCTCCGCACCTAAACCTGATCCTCGCGGCGCACGGGCCGGCCGGGGCGAGGCCTAACCGATGACCGAATCGGTACGCCTCGACGCGCCACGCCACGCCATGCCGCGCCACGCCACGCCGCCTCGCCCAGCAACCACACCAGCCATTCCATCCACGCACTTGTGTGTCACGGCGCGCGCACGAGCGAGGCTCTCTATTGAAAGAAAAGACAATGCCGCACAGGCAAAAATAAATGAAAAATATATGAGAAATAACTGGTGACTGTGAACAAAATTTAGAAAACAAGAACTAAAATGTATTTTAATGGAATGCGGCTAGATAGCTTTTCCTTTCTGTTAGGTTTGGTTCCTGTCGATGTTCCCACCCTTTGGCCCTCTCGGCAAGGTCAGCGACAGTCACGCCAGGGGAGACTTTGCGCGCGCGCTGACACAACATCCTGGCCGAGTTGGTCCGCCGTGAACTTTGCGTGTGTACGTAAAGTTTAAGTAGGATTCCATGTCGGGCCGGGAGGGCGCCTCCCTCTCAGTGGCGTCGAACCGCGGGTGCGAGCGAGATGACGCGCGCGTCCGTCTTGGGGACGAGTGCGAGAGAGATGGGCAGCGACGGTGTCACCTGTCTCTCTCGCACTTCTGGTAGGGCACCAGTGAGCTCGACTGCTTTGCCTTTTCCCTTTTCCCACCGTTAAAACACCCTCCTCCTGATCCCGAAAACTTCCTTTCGTTTCGAAACGCGACGCAGGAAATAAACTCCTTTCCTTGACTGTCGTATGTTTGTGTTGTATCGCTTCTTGCTGTTATTCTTTTCTCGCCCCACGCGCTCGTGTTTTGCCGGTTTCTGTTGCTGCCGCTACTGCTCCTGCATTTTCGTGAAAGTCTACTTTTAGTTTTGTCGTCACTTTCCAAGTTGATGTATCGTATCGAAAACTTTTGACGAAAAGATTGAAGAAAGATTTGGCTCGCCGTCGACGGTGAAAGCAGGGGAATAAGGGGAAAGAATAAAAAACGGGGTGGGATGGGGGGTCGAGGAGGCGACCGAGTTTGAGGGAGTGCAAACAGAAGAGTAGCATGCAGAGAGAGAGAGAGAGAGAGAGAGAGAGAGAGAGAGAGAGAGAAGAGGGGGGGGGGGCTTTTGATGGGAAAGCTGGTGACGGAGAGGCCGTTGGGGACGCAGCAGTGGTACGTTACCTTGTAGACGGTGTCCACCATCTTGCTGATCTCCTCCGTCTCCATCATCATGCTGGCCCTGTGGGGGGTGGCCCCCCGTGCAGGTGGTGGTGGTGAGCGCCTCAGCGCCTCGCTGTTCGTCGCCCCCGCGGCGGGCTCGGCCGCCCCGTCCGGCTCGCACTCATTGGCGCGGCCACCTGCAACCAGAGGGAACGATCAGTGACTACAGGAAAAACGCTAGTGACTACAAAACAGCCATTGTGACTTTCGAGGAAAATCAGTGACTACCAAACAAAATCAGTGGATACACAAACAAACTAAAGGTGACCTCAGATAAAAACATCGATTGTAACAGTAAAATGGTGCCTACGTAAAGATGGATTCAGAGTCCACAAGATGCGAGCGTGATTTTCACGCCGCTAGCGTGAAAAGAGTTGTTTTGGTTAGCAGTTGACTTTATGCAACAGCCAATAACAGGCCGCCGTGGGGCTATGCCATTATTTTCAGCTGAATCAGCTTTGGAGCTAGCGTGATATTTCACGCTTCCGGCGTGATTTTCACGCAAACGTCTGCTAGCAGCGTGATTTTCACGCAGGCGTCTGCTAGCAGCGTGATTTTCACGCAAGTTCGAAAGTGCACATTCTCGAATATCTCCCAAGTGCCCCTTCGAACTTGCGTGAAAATCACGCTGCTAGCAGACGCTTGCGTGAAAATCACGCTAGCTCCAAAGCTGATTCAGCTGAAAATAATGGCATAGCCCCACGGCGGCCTGTTATTGGCTGTTGCATAAAGTCAACTGCTAACCAAAACAACTCTTTTCACGCTAGCGGCGTGAAAATCACGCTCGCATCTTGTGAACTCTGAATCCACCTTAACAAACATCATCGACTACAAAAACAAACGATGAACACAGATAGAACACACGGTGACTGCTGACAAACCCATTGATACGTAATGAACCGGTCAGTGACACAAAACATCTCAACCACGACAGAGAAAACAGTGACACAAAATAAAAACCCGTAGTGACTACAAAAAGAAATATAAGCGACTGGAAAATCTTAGCGAGAAAATGAGCGATTCTCTAAACATTACCGACTTGAGGAAAAGTCAACGAAATCTCATGAGAATACTTAGCGAGTACGGCGATGAGCTGTGCATGTTTTTAGGCCCTCCCGCGCGGAGGTGCCCATTGTTTTTGTGTGTGTTTTGTCGAGTGCATGCTGCTGGTGGAGAGGAGGGGCTCGTTTTAATGCTGTTGCCACCCCGCCGTGCGAAATAAGTGTTTTGTGGACAAAAGGCGGTCGCTTTCTATTATGTCTCGCGCGCGCCGCGACTGCCTCGCCTCGCCCGCGCCACGGTCCTCTAAACTCCCTCCCTCTAACCCGCCCCGCCGTCCT